GTCAACGGGCACATACATCTTTTACCCCAGATTCCTGCTGGAAAGCGTGATAGCAGTCCCTTCACTTCCTATTTTTGTGGATGTGTCTTCTTTCTGTGAACTTAGCAGCGTTGGGTGACACTCTTTCCCACATTTCCGATGTGAAAGTATTGACCATTCACTGAAGGGAGTTTTGATCTGCTCCTTCCCAAATCCCGCTGAGCCTTTTAGGGTGAGTTGGCCGTGTCCCCTCCCCCCGGACTGCTCCCTGGCCACAGCCTCTGCTGCTTTGTGGCCATCTCTGTGCCAGGTCTCCGGCTGTGACCTTGGGGCCCCTTTGTCACTTGTTTTGTTGGCTATTTTGAGTGGTGTGTACTTTCCTACAGCAACAGGCATTTCAGGGGCATTAATCTGTGCCCAGCTTTGCTTCAAATTTCAGAGTGCCAGTCCTGCCGGGACCTCTGTTCTCTGGCCTGTGCCCAGGCTGGGCTGGACGTGGGGGTGCTGCTGGCATTCCTGGGTGCCTCAGGTGGACCCTCCTCGGAGTTTTGTCACAGAATCCCCTCTAGAGTTAATGGCCAGCTGCAAGTGACCCACATCGGCAGGTGACCTCCTTGACCCTGGCATCCCTGGTGGGCGCCCCAGCCTTCATTTCCTGTTTAGTCATTATGCAGTGAGAACCCATGACAGCCATGCGCAGGACGGCTTGCCAGATGGCACGATGAAATGGGGAGACACGGAGGAGGCCTCCACCAGCCCTCCTGGGCCTCAGAGCTCCCGCCTCTCTGTTCTGACGAAGAGGCTTCCCTCCTCCTGCTTTGCACCCCTCTCCAGGGCCTTCCTCTTTCCACGTGACCAGCAGATCGACCTGGAGCTGTGGGCAGAGCAAGCAGACTTCGACAACACGGAGCTGCACCAAATGCGTGTGCAGGATAATTGCATATTCTCCATCAGCCCCAAGGCTGGGAGCCTGAGTCCTGGGCAGGAGCAGGTGGTGGAGTTCAAATACAGGTGCCTCCCCCACTGCCCACCCTTCACTTCCAATCCCCAAGACCCTCCTGTCCCCTGGCTCCTGGAGGATCCTGGCCTTGCACTGTATGATCCCCGCATATCCTGAGTAGGTGCCACCCTGAGGGAATCCCACCATCCCATCTGCAGGGGAGGTCTAATTCTCCTCTGGCCTCTTCCCGACTCGGGGGTTCCCACATGCTCCCAGGGACCGGCCTGCTCAAAGCCCCCTGTGCACTGTGATCATTTGCTCTCCCACTGGTACCAGGGACCACGAATTCACCCCGGACTTATCTCCCCACTTCCAGCCACCTGTTCATTGGCACTGATCGCCTCCCAGTACTCTTCAAAGTGTCCCGTGGCCGGGAGATCCTGGTGAGGCCCAGCCCTGCTCCTGTCCTTGGGCGACCAGGAGAGGGGCTGAGAGTCACACCCCGAGGGGGCGGGGCCCTGGCTCTCTCTGCTGGGTGCCTCACTTCCTCCCAGAGAAGGACCCTGCTCATGAGCCCTCCACTTCCAGCTCCATTTCGTCGGTGTGACAGTGCAGCTGGATCAGAAGTACGTGCATTTCACCTCCACGAGCCACCAATTCATCCCAGTCTCCATTGGCGATGCACGGCCCCCGCAGCAGGTCAGTGGTCCATGTGGTCCCGGCCACCAGGAGGCCTGTGTGTTGGTTTCTGGGTAACTGCAAAAGTTCTTGACCAGGCGACAAAGGCACCTCACTCTAAGGGGGGGGCTGCAGGTTGGACCCCGAGATTGGGCGACCTGGAGAGACCCAAGGCAAGGGGCTTCAGTTTCCTGGTACCTGGGGCTTAGCCCTCTACCGGGCCTCGTTCCTGTGCAAAAGAAGGGGCTTCCCCTCCGCTAGCACAGGGTTTCTTCAAACTGCTCTGACCGTGAACCACACTGATATATTTTGATAAAAACCCAGTACTGACACACACATGACCGATCACAAGTCAATATGTGCACTACTACATGCAAAGTACTCTGGTTTTTTTTTTACGTTATATTCTGTTTCATTTTTTTTTTTTAATGTGGACATGAGTCACTAAATGGTTTCATGATCCGCTCACTGATAGGTCTCAGCCACAGTGTGAGAGTCACTGCTCCAAGAAGGACATCTTTCTGGAATGTGAAAAACTAGAATGTGAAGTCTCATGAAACCATAGGATTTCCTTTATTGGTTGGAGGGAATGGGGTTCCTTTCCTGTGAACATGGGCCATGGAATTTTCCAAGGGGGGGACATGATGTTTTCACAACTTGGAGATTATAACCGGTTAGAAGCCCTTGTGTTTCTGGGGAGGGGCCCCAGCCATTCGGCCTCAAGGCAGAGGAATGGGCCTCGCGGCCCTGGCAGGGGGTCTCCGGCCCCGAGCCCTGCTCACTTGTCTACACCACCCTCTACCCCACCGGCTTCCCAGAGGCCCCACTTGGGGCAGGCGTGCCCAAGCCTGCAGAGGTCCAGACACTCAAAAAGGAAGGCATGCCAGCCAGACTCCACAGCTGTGGGCAAGCTTTCTCTTTAGTTTGCGAGAGGATGACAGACGAGGACCTGGACCTGCAAGCAGGCCCTGGACAGAGAGAGAAGCGAACAGATTTGATTTACATTTTGGAGGCAGACTCACTGGGTCCTGCTGGGGACTGGACCTGGGGAGTAAGAGAAATGGAGGGACCGAGGACGCACTGGACTCCTGGCTCGAGCTACTGGGAGCATGTAGGGCATTTGCTGGAAGGAGGCACACGTGGGGAGGGAGAGGTTTTAGAGCGAAGAGTTCGCTTTGGGCCAAATTTGAGATACCTGTGGAGACAACCAAGAGGGGTTGTTGTCACGGGGAAGCCGGTACCAGGGGTGAGGTTCAAAGGGCGGTTCAGGCTAGAGAAATCACATCAGCGTATTCAGGAGCAGATGCTGAAAAAGAAGGGGAGCCAGTCTCAATCCACATAGCTCTTTGTTCTCTCTGGCTTCCGTTTCCTCACCTCTGAAACAACGGATCGGGCCAGAAGATCTTTGGTTTTTTCCAGGACATCCTGTGATCCTCAAACTTGGGAGTTAATCTCGGGGGACCCCATACCTTCCTCCCACCCCCTTGTCTGCCTTGGAGCAGCGCTGCCTCTAACAGCAGATGCAGCGGGCGGGGGGCGGCCTCACAGGCCGTTAGGATCAGAGCCTAGAAAACGACCATCATGACGGCGCTTGCTTGGACGGTTCCCTCCCTCCCAGCACTGAGGACACAAGCGTTCATATCCCCTTACACTTTGGCCAGGGTAAGGTGAGAGCAAATAAAATAAGAATGAAAGGTTATCTTAAAATATCACAGGCTGAAGACAGGGTTGTATACTTACGATGAAGCCAGGGGGACATCAGGAACTGGGGGAGCTCTGGGACTGTCGGTGTGACATTGCGGAGGCCAGCTGTCCTCCCACGGTGGACGTGGACTCTCAGGCTCTCTGCGCTACAGCCCCGAGCTGGTCTGGAGGTCCCCCTTCTTCCCGCCCCTGCAGATTTATGAGCTGTATAACGGTGGCTCGGTGCCCGTGACCTATGAGATCCAGACCAACATCCTGTCGCAGGTTCAGGAAAAAAATTTTGATCACCCCGTCTTCTGCTGCCTCAACCCCCAAGGGGAGATCCAGCCAGGCACAACGGCTCGGGTCCTGTGGATCTTCTCCCCCATCGAGGCCAGGAGCTACACAGTGAGTGGCAGCAGCCCCGGCTAACGGGGCAGGGGTCGGAGCTGGCCGCCTCAGCAGGCCTCGCCCTGACCAGGCCCTTCGCCCGCCCCCCTTCTCAGGTGGATGTGCCCATACACATCCTGGGATGGAACTCGGCCGTAGTCCAATTCCAGGGAGTGGGCTATGACCCGAATGCCATGGGGGACACGGCCCCTTTCTACAAAATCTCCTCGTGGGACAACAGCTCCATACACTCAAGGATGATGGTTCCTGGACAGGTCGGGGGAAGGGAGCTGGAAGAGCCTGAGGCCTGGGAGGGGCCTGAGGGCTCAGGGTGGCCAGGGCAGAGGGGTGGGGAGGCTGGACAGGAGACGAGATGATGTTGAGGACAGAGGGTGGCAGAGGTGAAGCCTGGAACCAGCCCTCCTTCAGATTCAACAGGCAGCACCAGCGCCAGGAGAGGCTTACCCCGCCACCTAGTGACCACAGGTGTTCAAGCCACTGCACCCTCGTCTCCGGGTGTGTAGATGGGGTTATTAGAGAGGGAGAGAGAAGCTCTCCCGTTCTAGGGCTCTAAGGTGTTAACTCCAAGCAGAACAGCCTGCCTTGGACCAGGTGGATTTATGCTGAAAGATATCTAGGGTCACTGACACTACCTCGAGTTCACAGGCTCCTCACTTTGGGGAAGTCTGACCCATCCATCCATCCGCCCACAAACGCACATGCCTGTGTATCCATCCGCCCACCCAGTTCTCCAGCCGCCCGTCACTGCCCATGCCTGCCTCTGCCTGGCCACCCTTCCTGTTTTGGACTCACTGCAGGTTGAGCCCTGCAGAGGTCTGGGAACTCAGAGGAGACAGAGTCCCAGCCCGGAGGCACTCAGCCTGGACAGAGAGAAAGTGCCCCTTCCCTGTGTCCCCAGCCTTTCCAGACCCCCCCCCCCCACAACAACACAGCTCCTGTCCCGAGCCCAGTGCCTGTAGCAACAGCCGGCCGCCCCTTCATTAGTAACCGCCCTTCGGGGGCTCACACGGCGCTGGCTTCAGTTCTCTCATCTCTCAGCAAGTTCTGATTTCTCAGCCTTCCCAAGTCCATCTTAAATTTATTATTTATTTTTTTATTTACTCATTTTTAGAGAGAGGGAAAGGGAAGAAGAAAGAGAGGGAGAGAAACTTCAATGCGTGGTTGCCTCTCATGTGCCCCGTCACTGGGGACTTAGCCCACAACCCAGAATGTGCCTGGACTGGGAATCGAACTGGCGACCCTTTAGTTAGCAGGCCCGCACTCAAGTCACTGAGCCGCACCAGCCAGGGCCCAAGTCCATTTTTTTTTTACATGTAAGCAAGGCGAAGGAAATTGCACATGACCTTCTGCCCTGAAAAGCTGAGGCTGGCCAGATTTTATTTCAAGTTGCTACTTTCCTGGAGGGGGGCACTATTAGGCCCCCTGGAAAGGGAATTACCTTGGTTCCAAGTCCATTTTTAATGGTCAAAATCATAGGGTTCAGAGCGAGACTGGGTTTATCTCAGCCGCAGCTGTGAGGGACCTGTGAAGGGGGGACAGTAGTAGCACCTGTGTCACAGGGCCGTGGGGAGGTTTGGATGCGTGCAGATTGCCTGCCATGGTACCTGGCCTGTTGAACGCGGTCAGTAGCTAGTGGCGGTTGCTATGGTTGTTACTTCTTCACCTCTCGAAGCTGCCGCTGTGTTGTCTCCACCGACAGAGCGTCTCCCTGTCCGAGTCGCACGTCTCCCTGGGAAACATTCCTGTGCAGAGCAAGTGCAGCCGCCTGCTGTTCCTCAACAACACATCTGAGAAGACGACAATTGTCTTCGTCTGGCAGCTGAAGCCTCTAGACTTCGGGGAGGTGCGAGTCCCTCTTGTCCACAGAACCCGAACCTCTGGCAGGGCTCCCGAATGACCCTGCCTTGTCCCCTCTGGCCCATCGCACCCCACCCCGTGTCACACAGCGCCACCCCATTCCGTTCCGTCTTGTCCCATCCCACCCCTGTGAAGCTGCAGAGACTCCTTCCCCGAATCGACAGGTGTCCGTGAGTCCCATGAAAGGCAAGGTGGCCCCAGGAGAGGGGGTCCCATTTGTGGTGACTCTGAAGGCCTCGGTGCATGCCAGTTTCTACAGCGTGGACCTGGTATGCAAGGTAGGGCCAGCCCCAGGGAGAAGCTGGGAGTAGGGTACAGCTCCCAACCCTGGGGGGTGGGGTGGGCTACGAGATCCCCAAATCCCCAGACAGAGCCAGCCCCTGGGAGGGTGGGGGGCCCACAGCACAGGCCCAGGGCAAGGCCCGGCTCTAAGTCCTGCCAAACCTTGGTCTTCTCCCTCCTTGTCCTGGGCCACAGGTGTACCATCAGGAACTCCTGAGGAAGTACTATAAAGAACTGCAGGAGTGGAAGGAAGAGAAGGTGCGGCAGGAGGTGGAGTTCACTATCACAGACAGGAAAGTGAAGGTGAGGAGGGCAGAGTGGGCCTTGGACAGCACAGATCTTTCTGATTGGCTGAAACGGGACAGAGGTGGTGATCTGAGGGGGTCCTACATGCAAAACTGGCCAGCCTGCCCTAAGCGATTAGATTTCTCTCATTAGACTGAGCACAGCATCTCCCCAAGAGACTCTTGGATACAGAAGGCTGGCTGACCATTCCCTGCCTCCTGTAGCTAGTGTTTACCATGTGCCTTTGAGGTGCTGGGTGGTGGGGACCATGGGGGACAAGATGGAGGTGGTTTCGGGGGACAGACTCTGGGAACAGATCGCCCAGTTTTGATCCCTGGCTTTGACAACTTCTAGCTCTGTGATCTTAGTCAAGTATTTCACCTCTCAGGACCCTCCATTGTCAAGTGTGGGTAATATGACATCTGGGATTGGCCTCGGGATAATTCAGAGGTGGGCGTACATGCGATCAGTTGCTGATTGTTGAAGCTGGGTGGCGGATAATGGGAGAGTCTTTGTAGCATTCTCTACAGCTCTAGATACAACTGAAGTTTCCCAAAGTAGGAAGGTTAAAAATAAAAGTTTTAAAAATATTTTTAAGTGCAAGTAAAATCCGACCTGCTTTGTGACAGTGTTGGGAGGGGTACGTGAGTTAATACAAGCCCAGCACTGCAACAGTGCCCGGCTCCCAGGAAGCACTGACTGAGTGTGCGGTTAGCGTTTGTCGGGGGAGACTGATAACAAACACGAGACAACAGACACATCTCAGGCCCTGTCCCGGCCTCATAGCCTCCGCATGCCCCTGGTCCTGCCTCTGGGTCACCTGTGTCCACCACACTGAGCTCCCAGGGACGGGCTGCTCCCCTTTGAAGCTCTGGCCCAACTGTGAGTGCAAATCATATCTTGAGGCCACAGAAGAAGGGATTTCTGAACTGTCTTAATAAGGGAAGCTGCTTCTGTACGGTACAAAACCACAAAGCTCTATGTCCTGGCTGGTGTGGCTCAGTGGGTTAAGTGCCAGCCTGCCAACCTAAGGGGGTTCACATGCCTGAGTTATAGGCCAGGGCCCCAGTGAGAGGCAACTGATCGATGTATCTCTCACACACTGATGTCTCTTTCTCTCTCTTTCTCCCTCCCTTCCTCTCTGTCTCTAAAAATAAAAATAAAAATAATAAAAACAGAAACCACAGTGCTGCAAGGCACAAGGACAGCTCTTTGGGGGCAGCCTACACATACATGGTGGCATCTCCTCTTTCCTTCAGTTGGATAACCAAGTCTTTCTTGTCTGTAGGTAGCACTTCCCTAGGGAAGGTTCTGGAAGAGGGTGTGGCCAGGACTTGGTCAAAACCAAGAGGGCAGCAGGTCCTGGCCTTGGCTTCAGGTTTTGGCGGATTGGCAGGAAGTGTAGGAAATCCTAGAGGGTTTGCTCTAGGCCTGTCGTATCCCGAGCAGGGTTCTCTTCGCTTCCACAGAGCAGAGCGTGTTGTACAGCCTGTGAACCTATGAAGAGATACAAGGTAAGGCCATAAACCGCAGACCCACCTCCTCGGATAACTTGTGAGGGTCCTTGCTCACTCTCAGAGACACCCCGCAACCCCTAGTCCCACCTCCTAGAAGGGAGGGACAAAAGGGCCAGTGGGTGGGGGCATGCCCCTGCATTGCCCAAAAGCCCTGGTTGGGAGGGTAGGGACCCTTCAGTGATGGGAGTGCAGTCCCCAGACCCCTGCCATCATTCCTCTCCCTTCCCAAAGACGCTGCCCCCTATCAAGAAACAGCAGGCTTTCAACCAGCCCACCAGCTGGAATCTTAAGATCCCAAAGGAGGGGACATCGTGGCCGAGCCCCCAGCTGCCCACGCCAGGCATGCTGTACTTGGGCCTCACCGCACGTGCCCACACCATTGACTACTTCCTGGCCAACTTCTTCTCCGACTTTCCCCGCTACTTCCTGCACTGGTGAATGCCCAGGGAGGGAGGGGTCTCCTTCCTCTGCTCTCTGTCCCCTCTCCCCCTCCAGAACAGGGGTTGCCCAGACCCAACACTTGCTGAGGGCTTGGAGCAGGAGCAGTAGCTGGGCGGGGGAGGCTAACGGGGTATGGCTGGGCTCAAGATGCCCCCCTTACTGCTTAAGTCCTCATAAGGAGGGGCAAAGAGCCAGAGCCCCCTGGGGAACCCCCTTGGCCTCCCCATCCCTCCTACCTTCCTTCCTTCCTTCCTTTCCAACTTGGAGCCTCTCCATGTGCTGCGTCGACTCTGAGGGTCAGACCTAGTTCCCCAATTGCAGTGAGTAGCACCACATTCGGTCTGGGTCTGCCCCAGACTCATCTGTGTCCTCATGACTGTGAGGCCACCACCACTGCTCATGCCCCCAGCCCCTGCATGGTGGCTTGCCCAGGCCACTCAGTGTCATGGCCTGCCCCAGGGAGCTACCAAAGCAGAAGAGCATCAGGGAAGAGCCAGAGGCCTCTGAGAAAGAACCCCCCGACAACTGGGCCCCTGTCTCGCAGCAGAAGAAGCAGCTTCTGGTTGACTGTCTCACAGCCATCATCAGGTGACTGTCCACAATCTGAACCCCACCCCCCATCTTTCCAGCCCACGCAGCGTGCTCTGGGCCCACCCACAGCCCCTGAAGTCCTAGCCCTTCCCTTCCTGAAAACTAATATTTCCTCGCAAGACCCTGCCATTGGTGGCCCACCCTCCAGGATGGTGCAGCTCTGATGGAGCTCCTGGAGGGTATGTTGAGGCTGGGTCCCGGGTCCTGCCCCTTCCACAGCCAGCAGTTGAGGGTTAGAGCCAGTTCACATTCTCCCCAGGGTTCCTGTCCCTCACCTGTGTATCTCTGACCCCCCGGCTCTGTCTCCATCATAAAATGTTCACCTCTAAGACTCCATGGGAACCAGATACCTTCCTCTAAAGAAGAATGGGAGAAGCCATGGACCAAGGGCTCCCTCCCCACCTGGCCCCTGTTTGTGGGCACAGGAGGCAAGAACCACCACTTGAGGAACCCCCAAACCAAAGCCTCACTGGGGGCTGCAAGGACCCTCAGCAAGAGCCTTCTTTTCCTCCCTGCCACCCAGGGGCCTGCTGGAAGACAAGACCTTCCATGAGGCCATAGGCCAGAGCCTGGTGGAGCAGATTCCTTACTTTTGCCAGTTCTGGAATGAGCGATCGGCCAGGTTCACGGCCATGACCAGCAATCTGCACGTAGCCCCAGACCTGTTTCTGTCCGATAGCTGGGAGGGCAGGGAAGACCAGGAGCAGCGGGACAGACGGAGGCTGCGGCGGCAAGAAAGGGAGGAAGAGACAGAGAGGGATGAAGAGGAAGAGGAGGAGGTGGAAGAGGAAGAGGAGGAGGAAGAAGAGGCAAAAGAGGAGGAGGAGACAGTGGAGGAGGAGGAGGAAGAAGAGATGAAAGAGGAGGAGGAGGCAGGCAAGGAGGAGCTGGAGGAGAAGGAGGAGGAGGAAGAGATGGAAGAGAGGAAGGAGAAGTTGGCCTGGACAGGGACTGAGCCCATGCCACAGCCTGTGCCCCAGGAGCCCCTGAATTGGCGGTGGCAGCAGCAGCTGAAGGTCATAATGAAGGAGGAGCAAGAGAAGGATGAGAAGGAGGCCATTAGCCGGTGAGCAGCCAGACCCAGGTGAGGGCTTGAAGGGGGCCGTGCAGAAGGGCCTGCAAGGACGGGGGCAGCCTCCAACTGTGCACATCTCTCCCGACTCAGTGCTCACAGACGTCATGTTAGAGGCATCAGGCCTGCGTGGGAGTATTCACAGAATGGCGATCTGAGCTTTATTTCCCCCCAAGACCTGGCTGCTAACATTCAACGCCACACCACTTCAGGGAGGGTAGTTAGGGTCTTCAGTTCTCTTAAGTGGGTTTCTAGAACCAGGAGAGAAAGACCGTGTCTTCTTGTACCCCCTTTCCCTGGGACTGATCTGTGGTTGCCTTCTGTCCGGGCTGGGAGGCCCTAGGCCCCACCTGGTCTCTCCTGCACGCTGCCATTGCTGGATGCCTCCCCCACCCCCGGC